ATTGCTCTTCTCCAGTGAAACCATTTCCCTTGGCTGCCAGAATATTGCACTCTCCTAATTTTCTTCCCGCGGGTCTGGACTCTCCTTTCTAACCTTCACTGGCTCTGTCTTGTCTTCCACCTGTTACAAGGCCTCAAGGCTTGGTCTGGTAGCCTCAGGGCTACACCTGTTGACCTGGTGTCCTCACTCAGTCTCACGACTTTAAAGATTATATCTATATGCAAATCACTCCCAAATGTGATTATATATATTTTCCATCTTCCTTCCCTGAATTCCAGGCACACATTTGCAACTGCCTGTGTGGACATCTTCCAGATATCCCAAACTTAGATTCAGACAAAACTGATTCCTTTACCCCAAATCTGTCATTTTTCAAACTTACCCATCTCAATTGCTAAGCAATTGGATGGATTAAAGTTGCTAAATTTAAAATGTTGGAAACACCATTTACACTTTTTTTTGTGTGTGACATATCCAATCTGACAGCAAATCTTTTATGTTCAAAACAAATCCAGAGTTTCGCTACTTTGGGCCACATCCACTGCTGCCATCCTGGCACACAGTACCGTTATCTATGTTTCTCCTGCATTATTGCTGTTTCTCCTGAGCTCGCTGCCTCGGCCCTCGCGCTCTCTTCTTTTTTCCATTCATTTTCAACACTGAATCCAGAGTGTTCCCGTTGAGCTCTAAAAGATCATATCAGTCCTCTATTCCAGACTGCAGTGGATCACCATCACACTCAGAGTCCACAGTGGCCTTCAGCGCCAGGTAAGACATGTGGCACCCTTTTCCTCCCTACTGTGACACCGTCATCTGTGTTCACTCAGCTCCAGGCATCCTCCCTGCTTCCAGAACAGGTCAGGCCTCAGGGCATTTGCACTTACTGTTCACTGTGCCCAAATGTTCTTTACTCAGGTGTCCCTCAACCTCATTTCTTGACTGATGTGTCATTCTCAATGAGGCTTATATCTAAAATAGCAGCTGCTGGGACATTACTGTCTCATTTCCCTGCTGTACTTTTCTCTTTTGCACTTTTTAACATAATATACAGTTTACCTTTCTCATTTATATTTGCATGTTTTTCCCACTTGAATGTAAGCTCCAGAGGTCTCATTTTTTAAAAAAAAACTGAATTGCTACTGTATTCCCAGAACAGTCCCTGACAAATATTTGGTACCAAGCAAGTATTGCTGAGTAAGTAAATAAATGATGAATTCAGAATCAAAATAATGTGTATATGGCTAAAATAAAACCTGAAAGCCCTGTCCCATTTGCCAGAGGCAACTGCTGTTAATACTAGGTTGTTAAGTATGAAATGTCTGATTTCCTTAAGTACTAAGTTGATATCTCTGACATTTCACTTTGACACTTCTTGTTTTATTGTTATTGTGAAGGTATATCCTTATTCTTTCGAACAAATGGTTTGGCATGTGATTATCTTTCAAAACTTTTTTAGAGCAATTTTTGTGAAAACATGGATAAGTCAAAAATTCATATTATTTTCAAATATGAGCCGTCATGGAACCAATACAGCACAAACAGCTTGAAATATCAATGAGATGTTTGGGAAGGATGTGGCTAATGCACAGTACATCCATGGTTTGAGAAGTTCCATTCTGGTGATCTTTAAAATGATCCATGTGGGTGACCTTAGATCAAGGTGGATAATGATGAGATGAAAGCTATAGTGGAAGCGAATCCATCTTAATCTGTGTGTTAATTAGCAGCAAGGTGTTTGATGTTACTATTCCAACAATACCGCACCATTTCAAACAAATTGGCAAGGTCAAGAAGCTGGACAGATGGGTACTGCATGAATTAAATGAGCGTCAGAAGAGAAATCCTCTCGAGGCTTGCCTGTCTTTGTTGTCACAACATAAAGGCAAACCATTTCTACTATTGTTATGTGTGATGAGAAATGGATTCTTTTTGACAATTGCAAGCATTGGGCACAATGGTTGGATAAAGATGAAGTGCCAAAACACAGTCCAAAACTGAATATTCATCAAAAAAAGCTAATAGTGTCTTTTTGGTGGTCCAGTTCTGGTATTATATACAGTACAGCCTCATGAAACCTGGTCAGTCGATTACAGTGGATGTCTACTGCAACCAATTAAGACAAAATGATGAGAATGCTTGCGATTAAGCAGCCGAGATTGGTCAATACAGACAGGCCAATCCTCTTGCAAGACAGTGCTCGACCACATGTCCCACAAACAATGCTGCTCAAACTACAGAGGTTTGCACCACCTGACTACCCCGTCTTCCAGGCTTTGAGCCACTTCTTGCAAGGAAAAATATTCAGTTCTCAACAAGATGTGAACACCTTTTATGATTTTATCGCCACTCGTTCTCCAGGCTTCTTCACTGCTAGCATAAACGAGCTACCATTAAGATGGCAAAACTGTGTGTTGATAGTACTCTGTCAATAGTTTAGGTGCATACTTTGATTAATTGTACTGCTTTTTTGAGATACAATAAACTTTTGGTTCGAAATCGGACGTTTCATGTTTAATGACCTAATAGTTTGGTGTATGCTTCCAGGCAGTGATTTGCATAAACATACATTCATAGAATCGTTTATCACAATAAAAGTATCATACTACACAGACTGTCCTACAGCATGCTTTTTTTCACTTTGTATTCCATGGACATCTTTTCATATTAGTACTGTTACCTAGCAAAAGGCTCTCGCTGCCTGATGCTCTAGAAGCCAATACTATGGCACTGGGTTTTTGAGAAAAGAAAAGCTTTATTCCAAGTCAATCAACATGGAGACAGGAGTCCAGCTGAAATCCGCCTCCCTGTGCTGGCTTTAGGCGGCGCTTTTACTAGAAAAGGTTTTGGGGGTGGATTCTGGGATTAGTAGGTGATTGGTGGAAAGGAAAGAGGGCTAGAAGGTCCGCGGGCATGCAGTTATCTGTTCACGCTGCCTCATGGGTTGCACGTGCACACTGAGGGTAGTTAGTGTGAATCACGGGGTGGAAATTCAAGCTATGACATAAGCAAGCAGCAGGCTGTTTGCCTCAGACTCCAGTTGGCCATGTTGATTCCAACTGATCTCAACCAGTTTTGTTATCTTACAAGTTGGAGGGAGTTTTTTTTGTTTTGGGGTTTTTGTTTGTTTTTTCTTATCTGCTATCCTGTAAGCTCAAGAATTTCTGGTAGTCACTGGTTTCTTTAACTCTGGATAACGGTTTCAGTACATAAGTAGCTAGTTAATTTTTAAAATTCTAGCTGTATTATATTCCATTCTGTGGGCAGGCCATGATTTAAGTTTTCCAAAAGACAATTACTTAACCTATTTAATTACATGCTATAGTAAACATTTTTGTCCGTATTTTATAATATTTCTGTAGGATAAATTCCTAGAGGTGATATTGCCAAGTAATCGAAAATTTTTATATAGTGCCAAATTGTCCCGAAATGTACTAATTAACACTCCCAGCAACAGTGTAGGAAATTCCTTGTTTTCATACCGTCATCATCTTTAAAGTGACTATTTCCAGTTTTTGCCAGTGCTGTCAATCTGAAAGTGTGTGGACCTAGAGGAAAAGATCGGAATCAGGCAACCTCCCCAGTGCCCCTGACTGAGAGCTTGTCACTGGCTCCTTGTGGTTCTCATCTTCCTGTCTGGGGGTGAACAGGTGGATCTGGGGCCTGACCCACACAGCGCGGGTGTTAACCGCAGCGGCCAGCCGTGATACCCCTAAACCAGGGCGCACACCTTGCGTGCTGCCCTGGTCAGCATCCACCAGAATCGAAGGTTCTCCTACCCTTCGACTCAAAACTGTTTATCAGCAAATGGTTTATTTCCTCCTAGACCCAGTCAGATTGGCTCCACTACCCCATCTTACTTAGGGAAACAAGTTACGTAGAATGTTTTAACCGGAAACTGCCCATCGTTTTTTTTTTTTCACACAGAGTCTCACTCTGTTGCCCAAGCTGGAGTGCCCTGGCGTCATCCTAGCTCACAGCAACCTCAAACTCCTGGGCTCAAGCTCAAGCGATCCTCCTGCCTCAGCCTCTCGAGTAGCTGGGACTACAGGCATGTGCCACCATGCCCGGCTAATTTTTTCTATATATTTTTAGTTGTCCAATTAATTTCTTTCTATTTTTAGTAGAGACTGGGTCTCGCTCTTGCTCAGGCTGGTTTCGAACTCCTGAGCTCAAACAATCCGCCAGCCTCCGCCTCCCAGAGAGCTAGGATTACAGGCGTGAGCCACCGCGCCCGGCTGGAAACTGCCCATCGTTTAAGTGGCTTTTGAACTGGGTCTGGAGAACCCAGGTTCGCTAAGGGGTGATTTGGGCAATGGGAGCAGCGCGTGCGAAGGCGCGAGGCGGGAGACGCTCCGCAGAAGCTGCTCGGCCATGGGCACCCGACCGGGCGGTCCGGGGAGGCCGGCGCTCCCCTCGGGCTCGCGCTGCCCGCCCGCCAGCCCCGAGGCCCCAACGGCTTCTTTCCCAAGAGGACCCGAGTCACCTCGCTTCTAGGCCTCACGCTGCCAGAGCGAGGGCAAGACTGGGTCCTCTAGGAATTCGCCGCTCACATTCGGCTTTGGGAAATTGACCAAACGGTGTGAAACGTGCACCTCGCGCGGCCCTCAACCTCCCGTTAGCGGCCGAAGCGCTCCGGAGCACCACTGCACAGGCGCGTGTCCTCCCGGCCCCGCCCGCCTCGGGCGCGTGCGCGTACGCGGGGACAGGGGCGGGGCCTCGAGTCCCGGTTGCCTGGATACCGAGACGCACCGCTAGCGGCGGCCGGCGCTCGCGAGCTAGCGGGTCGGGGGTGTAGCTAGAGGGGCGGTTGGCCCTCATTGTGCAAGGAGGCCGAGGAGGAGCGGGTAAGATCCTCGGCCGGCCGCTCGGGCCTGGCGAAGTCGGCCCCATCCCCGGGGAGGGCGGGCGGCCCTGGGCGGCGGCGCCCCGAGCTGACCGGCCGCCCCTGCTGCCCGCAGCACACCTGATTCTCGCCAGCCTGGTCCCGTCTGCGGAGAGCTATGCCGCTTCCCGACACCATGTTCTGCGCGCAGCAGATCCACATTCCCCCGGAGCTGCCGGACATCCTGAAGCAGTTCACCAAGGCGGCCATCCGCACCCAGCCCGCCGACGTGCTGCAGTGGTCCGCGGGGTAAGCGTCCCTCGCGGCGCGGCCACCCGCCCCCGCCGGGCGTGCCCGGGAATCCTCCCCACCGAGGGTCCGGCGCCGCTCTCGGCATCCTTACAGCACCGGGCCAAGCTTCCCCTTAGCGTTGATGACATCTGTACCTAAGTGTCCATCTAGGAACCGTTACGGTCTGTTGACCGTGGGGCCGGAAACTTGCAAAATGCTCACTTATCTGCAAAGTAGTGGCAACTCAATTGTCGAAGAGCAGTATTTATGATGATAGACCAAACAAAGCAATTGCCTTGGGCGAAAAGTTTCAGCACTATATTTTTAAAAATCACACTATTACAGTCACTTTATCTGTGAAATGAGATTTTTACAAAGTGGAATCTTTTAGCTATGTTTCTGGTCCACAGAGAATCCTCCCAGAGTTACATAAATTTATTAGAACCAGAGGACCAAAATCATACATACTGAGGTCATCATCCCAAGACTGCTAAAGATAAACTCTGCCCAGCAGAGTTCACAGCGAAGGAATCTTCCCAGTTTCTTGCTACAAACATTCTAACCCTTTCCAGGAGCAGACATTCATAATCTTAAAGTTACAAGTCAACAGACCTTAGAAGCGGTATTAAATAAATCCTTTTGATTTTACAGGAGAGTTCTTTGCCCCTTATCACTAAACTGACATAGAACAAAAGCTCACTTTTATGATGACAAGAGTCAGTATAGGTGTAAATTTAAATATTTTGGTCACCAACATGTCATACCTTGCTGATTTTCTCTAAGCTGTAAAATCAAGATGAATTAGTTTCCTTTGGCTGCTGTAATGAATTACCAGCAAACTTGAGGTTTAAAACAACAGACGTATATTCTTACAGTTTGAAGGCCAAAAGTCCACAGTGAGTTTCACTAGGCTACAATCAAGGTGTTGGCAGGCTTTGCTCTTTCAGGTGGTTCTACGGAGAATCCAGTCCATTTCCTTGCTTTCTCCAGGTTCTAGAGCTGCCTTCCTGTACTTCTGGGCTAACGGCCCCTTCCTGCATTTTCAAAGCCAGCATCTTCAAATATCCATCCCTCTGCCTCCCTCTTCTTAGGACACTTGTGATTACATTTAGGAGCCATCCAGATAATCCAGGACAATTTTCTCATCTAAGATCCTTAATCAATCTGCCAAGTCCCTGTTACCATGTAAAGTAACATAAACAGGTTCCAGGGATTAGGACCTGGATGTCTTTGGTGCTGTTATTTAACCTACCAACAGAGCTACTGGTCAGTCCAGTGCTTGCCTTCTGAGAAACACTTTTGTCAATTGCTTCTTAAAGATTCTGTCAAGGTTCTTGCTTAAAAAAAAAAAAAAGAAATTATGGCCTCTGGTTTTAACCATTATGGAAGCCTAAGTACAAGACAGGATTTGTAAGAGTTTATTTGCACTCTACAAAAAAATTCCAAGATTTGGCATTTTTTTTCTTGGAACATTATATTTGGTAATACTTTAGACACAGTTATTTTAAGCTTCACTTTAGAAGGCTTAATCGAGAACTTTCTGAATGCTCCATTCTGCTAATTTCTCTCAAGAACAATTTTTGAGTTTAGGAGAAAACACAGGCATTATTCATTAGACAATGCGTATGTAATGGGCTCAAATGTGTCCCAGCTCTCACAGAACTTAATCTTTAAGAAAGAGATGTTCATAAATAATTTGAGTTAAGGGGGAACTTGGTACATGCATCAATGAAGGTTCATTGAAAGTTGAGCGGAGGGTGACTTGATCTTTGAAAGATTTCAAAGTGGGGCTCAGGCAAGGTAGAGGGTATTCCAGACAGAGGAAGCAGCGTAGGAAGGAGGGGGTGGGGACAGGAGGGGAAAAAAAACAACTAAAAACAAAACAGAAACCAGGATGCATGTGAAAGTAACTCTTCATAGAATACTCAAATAGGCATTCCTGTTTTCTCGGGTTAGGGTTCTTTTCAAATGAGGTTCTCAGTTGGCCGAATATCAAAGATGAGCCAGTCTTTCTCCCAAGCCTGTCTACTCCACTGTGATGAAACAGTTGGTTGGACCTTATTATGTCATCTTGCAGTTGTGCATCACACAGGACAATGGACACAGAATTGGTCAAGTAATAAAGGCTGCTTTGGCGCACATGTACCTAAGGGAACTGGCAGACAGTAACATGAGTCGGTCTCTCCTCTGCAGCAGGCTTTCTTAGCTCGGCACTACCGGCGATCGGAGATGGGGGCCGGAGGGAAGGGGCTCCTGGCCTGCACCCACTAGATGCCAGTAGTACCACTCACCCTCTGTTGTGACAGCAAAAAAGTCTCCAGAAATTACCAAATGTGGGTGGGGTGGGGTGTGTGGAATTACCTCCTGTTGAGAACCCTTGCTCCAGAGGCCACTGCTAGCTTGGTGACTCCATTGATCAGTTATGAGGAATAACTTCCATGAAATACGAGAAACCCTCCATTAGGAGCAATGTGGCAAAACTAAGCCCCCATCCTTCACCCCAGCCCTTTGGGTCTTCAGGTCCACATTGGTCTAACTCACTGCTGCCTTTGTTTTGACTTTTCCTCAAATCATTAACAAAACTACAAAATGTAGCTGAAGTTGTCTTACATGCATGAAAACAAAAAGTTTAGTGGTGAAAAGAGAAGGGACAAAATATGAAATTTCTTTTAGTCCAGCAAATATCCATTTATCCATATTTATCTGTTACATAGTAGTTGGAATATTTCTAATCATTCATGCCTTTTAAATTATTACCTGGGGCCCTGGTGGAGGATTTAGTGTTCATTTTCCTGGATATGCCATCTCTTCTTGTCATGTTAAAGTTGTTAGAGCAGGAAATGATGTGGCTTCAGCACTGGCCACCTCTGGCAGATGCAACAAGGGGAGTGAGTTTTGCAGAAGGACCTGCCTGGCCCGTTCCCTCATGACTTAGTGTGCCGTCCTGTTTCTGTGATCTCTCTCGTCCCCAACATATGCAGCAATATCAGTGACCCGGAAAAGAACACTTAAGGGGGAAAATAGCAGGCAGGAAGGTGGGAGAGAAGCCGGCACCTGACATTCCCAGGGTAGAAATAGATGACCTGTGTGTTCTTGGGCTGCCTCAGAGCTGGGTATGCAGACACGCTTAAAGTTAAACACCTCAAAGAGCAGCAAGACCAGGAAAAGGGAAGAACAAGCCCAAACTGTCGAGAGTAGGATGACTGTACCATGACATCGCATTTAGGTTATTCCGGGGCCTGGGATCTCACACCTCCTTTGGTGATATTTCAGAAGCACTCATAGCATTTGCTTGATAAGAATAGCACATGTTCAGTCAGCGTGAGTGCCAGCCACTGTGCCAGCCCTTTCTCACTCGCTGCTCCTGGGACCCCTAAGACAGGGACTCTCATTATCCCCACCTTCCAGACGGAGAAACTGAGACGTGCAGAGGTTAAGTCAGAGAACTAAGTGGAGGAACCAGGACGTAAGCAGGAGCCGTTGGACTGTAGGGCTCTTCTTCCTGATCACTGTTGTTTTCCCGGGTTGTACGAGAAACTGCATTGCATAAGGTGCTTTTTGTGTATTGATGAGCCTTCAGAGATGTGTGTTATTATTAGATATTTTACAGCTTTGTCAAGAGGAGATCCACTTCCTGTAAAGGACAGAATCGAAATGCCCGTGGCAACCCAGAAAACAGACACAGGCCTGACTCCAGGACTCCTGAAAGTTTTGCACAAGCAGGTATGAGAGGGTCTGTATCACCAGTCCGCTGGCGTTGCTTCACCGTTTCCTGCACCATTCATAGCCTGATGGCACAGCAGGGCCCACCCGTAAATACACAACAGAACCACCCCGTAAGTCCTGCTTTCCCTGCCAAGGAGCTTCAAGGTTTTTTCAGTTAAGGAATTTGTTGTATTCAGTGGACTTTCTCCAGTTTAAACAACCGAAAATAGCTAGTCGTGAATAGATTTTACAAAAGTGAAATATAATTTCTTTTAGATACAAAATTAAGATGACACTAAATTCTGCTGGACAAAAAATACAAAATTCCAGAATTGTGCGTTACAAGTCCCTTTTTGCAATACGTGTTTATAAAAGCTGTTTGCATGCTAAAGTAATAATCTGCCTCCTTCATCCGAAAGAGTTGACCTTTTGCACCCCACGGTGGGCAGTGGCGTCTGGTTTCCGGTTCTCCTGAGAGCCTGGGCTGGTAGGCAGCTCCCTTCCTGCCTTGCCCCAAGAGCCCTCGCATTCCTTCTCCCTGTGCACCATCTTGTTTTTAGAGGAATGAGTTAACAGAAAGTGTAGTGTGGAGCAAGGTTTGGCATTCCCAGCATTGGGTCGCATTGCTAAAAATGATGCCAATGGCATAGCCTTGATTTTGAAAGTCATTTGTCCCCATCGGACATCTGTGCTCCTGTGCAGGATACATTGAGTTGTGAAGACAGGGCTTTTCCATGGCTCTCTACCTTAATAACCCTTGAACGGTGAGGCTTGGGAACAGCCACACTGAAGCTGCTCAAAGCTTTTTTACCCAGGATACTACTAGCAGATCATTGAAGTTATCAGTTTTCATAGATTCTTTAAAATAGTAGAAGGAATACATTTATTTTCAATTTTAAGGTTTGTCCTTTTTAACCGTTAACATGTTTAAAAATCCAGTCCCTGGGTTTTTAAACATTTTTATTTATTGAGGTTTGGTCTTTATTGTGAAGTATTTCAGACAGATAGTAGAGAATCATATACCCAATGTCTGTACGCCCATTTTATTAGGTCTGAACATTATGCCACGTTCTTTCCATTGTCCCTTTTTCTTTTAAGAAATAACATGTTGCTGATATGGAGCTAGCCGCCACCCTCCCTGCCTGTGTGCCCCTCCCTCCACTCCCTCCCCAGGGCTGACACAATTCACTGTCCTGAATTTGGAGTTCATCTTTCCCCTGAACAGGGCGGGTTACTTGATATATGTTTAAGTATTCACAAGCATTATATTGTTTCACAGGTTTTTAAAACTCACATGAACTGTGTCATACTGTGTTTTCTAAACAGTGTGGCCACAAGCACGATGTGGAATTAGCAGATCTTGAGCAGAAGTGGAAAAATTTGTGCCTGCCAGTAGAAAAATTCAGAGCTCTCTTAGAGCTGGATCCTTGCAAAAAGCAAATCGAGTGGATAAAATTCTTAGCGCTTGGATGTAGCATGCTTGGTGGGGTATGTATCTATAAATAGCATATTAGCAATTCTGTGTAATCATAGGCCTCGCTTAAAAATAACTTAGGTTTCAGTAACTAAAAGAAACACTTTCATTACTTCAGTAACTTTGTCTTAGAAAACCAGCTTCCCCCACTCCACCACAGGTCTATTATATTTTCAGGCATATATTTATTTTAATTTACAGAAATTAAATACTTATGAATACCTCTTTTTAAAAGATGTTAACAGTAGATGACAGCTATGGATACTATTAAAAAGTATTTAGGTTTTAGAAGAGAATGCAATCAATGACTTTTTAAAACTATGCATCATTTTGTAAACCAATAATACCTGTCTTCCTCTTCTGTGGAAAGAGGCATGAAGTTATTTTCTACTTTAGTTAAAATGTATTGTTAATAACTCATCCATACAATGAGGTTTTGCTGATGTTAAAATGTAACCCAGACGACTTAGGAGTAAGACACGGACGGCCCTCCAGCATGCGAAGTGATAGGCGGTGAACCTAGGAGGTCAGGGTGCGGGAGGGCGAGGTTGGGGTGGGAACGATGTTGGCAGAACTTCCTTTGGAAGTCTAGAATCTCTGTTTTCAGGGGGAGTGTTTGCGTTGTGCTGGGAGACGTGGTGGTGAGCGAAGGAACAATCACCACGTCAAGCTTGTGAAGAAAGGGGGTTGAGAAGGAGACCTGGCTCCCTCACTGTGTCGGTGAACTCTTTTGTCCCCCGCTCCCTTCAGTCTGTGGACCCCAAGTGAGTAACCGAGTAATTCATAATCCTTGCTTCATGCGTGGCACACACTCTTCGAGTCCTTGCATATGCCTCTTTAGTTCAATTTGTAAAAATGCCTTGATGTGGTAGACACCCATGAACCTGCCCAGCGTGGTCACTGACGCACCGACAGTGTCTTCCAGCTGCCTGTGTTCTCTTCTCTCGTCCCGTTGCCTTGCCTAGCGGCCTGAAGCTCAGGCTTCCCATCCCCTTGCCTTGTAAAAAAATACTTCCGAACGTACCCAAGAAATGCGTTATTGAATTTGAGTTGGTTTTGATGTGATAAAAAGATAATTATGTTGTTAGTAATCTTTTGGAACCTTTTTCTTTCCGAATTACGTTGCTATAGTTGTTCATCTGTATCCTTGCAGACCACCGTGGGTCATTCATTTCCTCTGCTGTGTGGTGTCCACTTGGGAACACAGCGGAGCTTGCCTGTTCTCCCGATGGCCCTGGTGAGAAGCTCCGTAACCTCAGCGAGGTCAGGTGTCAGGCTGGGGGCTGCGTAATGAGCGACAGTTCTGTTGTGTAACTGCCCCGAGGCAATGTGGGTGCTTCTGTCAGCTCCGTTCTAATTGTGCCGAGGCCCGGACACTGGCAGACCAGGTTCCCTCCAGCAGCAAAGACGGGCTCAGATAACACCAAGGAAGTGTCTCGGGGGTATTATTGGGAAGAACAGAGACAAAATAAATTTAATTATTGGAGACATTTTTATGTTACTTTGCTCATCTGGAACTCTGTGAAATCAAGATTTTAATGATAAAAATTAGTATCTCATATTTGAATTAATGTTTATGGTTTCTGCCTCTAACCTTAGTACTGAAATTTTGATTTTAACAATGATGACAAAGAGTAGCATAATTCATGTTTTGGGGTTCATCTTTGTAATTTCCACCTCCCTAATCATGAAAATTAAGCACTGGATTTAAAACAAAGCTGCATCTACTTTGGAAAATCAGGTCTCTTGTCCGTGTACACAGTATGACACTAGATGGAGACATTTTGTTTAGGATGGAGCTTTGCCTTATAGACGGAATACTCGGGGGGAGACATCACAAACAATGTGCAGTCTTTTGTTTTCTTCTTATCATACGTTACTTTGATATTATAGTAAGGAACAAACGTACCTCAAGAAGCATACTTGTGGGTCACTGTGGATTCCTGCCTGTCTCCTAACTGAAGGCACCGTTGGCAGTAGGGCTCACTGTTTGCCCTTGACTCCTTCCTTAGGTGCCTTCTTGGTTGTGGAAAGCCACGGCTACCTCTGCTCTGGTCCAGCGTGGCTCTCGGCTCGCGGGGTCAGGTTCAAGTGTGAAAGCTGATCCTCTCCTCCCCCAGAGGAATGTGAGGTTGCCTGGGGTTTCTGTTTACTGCGAGAGGTGCCTGCTCTGCCCTGGCCTCCACCAGGCCCACAGCGAGCTGGGCATGTGTTGAAACTCCCATCTCGGTGTGTGCCGTGGGCGACAGGAGGCACCCAGCCAGCCAGGCTCGGTGTGGAGGTTGTGTTGCTGACGGCACGTTGGCCTTGGGCAGCTTGGAGGTGCACCAAGAACACGAAGCTGTGAATTCAAGGAGGTGTTTCTTCATGTAGTTTGGCATCATAGCATTTATTTTTATGCCTTTCAAAAATAGCTACAAAGAGGAGGAAATGAAGAAGTGAAGCGAGATGATGAGAAATAATTTGTAATGGGCTACTGCCTGCTTAAGTTGTTTTCCCATAGGACACTGTAAAGTTGGCATCTAGTTGCTGCCTGCACGAACATAATAGGTATTATTCCTGCTTCCTTCATCCATGGCGTTTGCATGGCCTGTGGCATGCTCTGTGCTTTTAAATTTCTCTTGGAACTCACTCTAGTCAAATGAATTGAGTTTAAGATCTCTGAAAAGACTGGAAACCTCTGCTTAAATTTCTGAGTCATATGTTTCATTCATTCATTCCTTCATTTCTTCATTCCACAAATGCTTACCAAGTACTGCTTTGAGCTAGGCCCTGTTGTAAGTGCTGAAGGTTCCAGAGTGAACAGCATAGGCAAATATCCCTGGACTCTTGGAGCGGACGTTCTGCTATAGCCTTGCTGCTGTAGTTATTACCCAAAGCTACCAATTTGGATGAAGGGGCGTTGTGGGCAGCCCTGGCAGGTGAACGGGGGGGTCAGATGATTGCTGTTCTCCTTCCCAATGTCTTGGCTCGCTTGCCTGGTGAAATGATCACACTTATATGTCGTGACTTTTATCTTTACATTTCTGCCATGCCATTAATGATCGTAAGCATTGAAGCTGTCGATCAAAATGTCTCGTTTTATTTTTTAAGCACGGAGATCTTTTTTTTTTTTTTTAACATAAAATCATGAACTGAGTCTTCCATCCCCACACACACTGGCAGGGGCAATCCATAAATGATAAAAAACACACAGTGAACAAGTAACGATGGCTTTAGTCAGACTTCTAAATGCATTTGGACTTTGTTAATCACAGGAGCATCTCTCTCTGTTTCCAACTACAAACATGCACGTGTATAATGCGGTTTTCCATGTGAACACAGTGCTGACAGTGGGCATGATTTCTAGGGTTCTCACCGTGTGCCGAATGTGCAGGGCCCCTTGTGTGCGGTCTCTCTCACCCTCCCAATGAGCCTTTGAAGAAGGTACTGTTTGCCGAATGGTAGGCTGGCGTGCATGGCAGAGGTAGGCCAGGTAAGCCACAGCAGGTGACTTGGAAGTGGGAGATAGAGGGACCCCCTCCTGGTGTCTCTGTAGCCCCAGGAGTGTGTGGCCCACAGGTTAGGACCACCTTAGACTTCATGCCTGCAATTTCCTGTCTAGAGAATAACAGCTCCCAAGGATTTTCGTTAATACCATTTTGCGTCCTGAAATGATTCAAACCCTAAAAAGCATTCACCATCAGCCTCTAACAGCTCTCACTTTGGAGTTCTTAGAACATTGCCCCTTACAGCTGCGCTGCAGCAGTTGGATCTGGTGTCTTTGACCCATTGCTGTGCGCTGTTGTCCCAGTGTGACAGCCACCTGTCCCAGTAACCACGGCTGCATCCCGGCTTACTCCCTACTGCTTTCCCCAACTAGGGTTCAAAAGCCCATTCTGAGATGTGTAAGAAAGACCAACAGAGTTCCTTTTATCCCCTGTAGCCAGTGAACAGATACAGCTACCCATTGTGGATGTGAGCCTCGGGCCACAAGCACACTTAGTCAGCTGTCCCCCAAGGAGGAAGGAGCCGCTCCTGGGCTCTCCCCGGTTCCCCCATTGCTTATGTCTCTCCCTGTGTACGAAGGGGGGATGGTGAGCTCCCACCAGCCTCACCACCGTCCCACTGGAGAGTGTCACGAATCAGCTGCTGCTGGCCACTGTGGACCCTGCTCCCGGCCTGCACAGCGACACGGGCAGCATCCGGCTTGACAGGTTGGCTTCCCTCTAGGACCATAACCCAGCCACCTGGCTGGAGACTCCTAATTTGGGACCTCCCACCCTCACTGGCACTGGCCGCAAGCCCTAGAACTGTGTTCTAAATTAGAAAACCGATGAGGGTAATAAAATAAGATGGAAAGGCTCTTAGGCTTTTAAAAATGCCATGTTGGGTCAGTGCCACTGCTTCACCGTAAGGCCCGTGTCCACCCTAAGCGCAGGCAGGCCACACCTCAGGGAGTGGGGCTTCCTTTGTTCGATTCTGGGTAAAGTGGTTCAAGATATTGTTCACATTTTTTATTCCCAGACTTGCTCAAAGGCACCCTAGGGGAGGTGTGAGGTGACTCTGTTCTTCAGAGGCTTTGAGTGTCATTATAAGAGCAGATATAATTCTGAAACAGTGAAAAATCCCACAGAATCAGCACACGGAAAATACTCAGAAAAGAGTAGGTTTTTCACACATCTCCATTTTAATTTCAGATTATGGATCAGGTGTAAATACTTGGTTAAAAACGAAGTGTAGCTTGCCAGTCACCTCTGCCTGGCATGTTTTCCGTGCGCGGGAATAAATTGGCAACGGGCGGGAGGTTAGCAAGGGGCACCGCCTGCCGCGGAGAGGGCCCTTTGGCTGCTGAGCGAGTCACCATGCCACCTGCAACCCTTTGGGATTGAGAAATGTGTTTATAAGAAACATAACTCTCAGCGCAGGATCAAGCAAGTTGCTTTATGAATCCTTCTGGATATAAGAATTGCTGCAGATCTTATTGTCAGAAACGTCGACATCAGTCGTGTCATCGCGCCTTTGCAGAGGCAGTGATGCTAGAATGTTTTGATGTATTTTTCCTTAAATACCTCTTCCTCTGAAGCCTTTGAACAGCATGTTACACAGATCTCATCTGCCTGCTCGACCCACGCCAACTGCTTCCTCCTCGTTCCTCCGCAATTCCGCACGTGGCAATGACTTGCTTCCATTTGTGTAGGATATAAAAGTAAATTCTAACACAACAACAAGTCTTTGAAAGTTTCAGACAAGGAACATGGATTGTAAAATACACTTTACTTTTAGCAAATCCTCTCTCGAGAGCAGTCTTTTAAAGGAGTGTCTTGTGCAGTCGTTCTTGGAGAGAGCTGTCTGCTGCTCCACAGAACAAGCTCAATCTGTTTTTCTAATTAGAGCATCATTTCGCCTCTCAGAGGCAGACTCACACCAGCACTGTGCCATCCGCCCTCAGCTGTACATTGTGGCCAGGGCCACCAGTACTGGCTCACGTGGGAAGCGGGACTCCAGAGTGAAAATGGGAGGAGACACTATGGCAGGCCCACTGGACAGATGCCCGAGTCCCGGCTGACAGTGATGGGGAGATGAGTTGTGTTCAGGCCTTCACCTCCTCCGGCCGAATGTCTGGATCCTGAAGCGGGGCTGTGTCTCTGCCCTGGATCTCGCTCCCCCAGCCAGCCTGGGGGCTGCTAGAGGTGGTGGAATGTGGTGGTCGCCAGAAGGAGCTCAGAGGCACACTGGCTGCGTTCCAGTCCCGGCCAGATGACCTTGGGCCATCCCTGAATCTGTAGGGGCCCCGCAGTCCTCATCTTTGAGCCAAGGATAAGCACAGTGCTCACCTTGTGCTCACTGCGAGGGGCAGACGAGACCCCTGCCAGGCTCTTGGCCCGCGCTTGGGATGCGGCAAGTGCTCCATCTGTGCTGGTTGGTAGCCCTGTTCCTAGCGCATGTCATTCTGGGTGAGAACTGCACCTCAGTCCTGCAGCCCAGGGCAGGCTCAGAGCCTTTGCATGTCCTCAAGGACGTCGGGTTTCTTTCCCATCACAGTCCCTGTTCCGTCAAACAGCCCTGGTGTGACTTTCCTCAGCACTTTTCCTACGCCTGCAGCCTTCCTGTGGGAACTGTGCTCTGCCTCATCCACTGTTTTTCTTCCAGCTAGTTCCTCCTCCTGTGTGCAGCCCCACACTCATTCCTGTAGGCAGTGTCCCTGGAGGACGCTGCCTGGCTTGGGAGGCTCGCTGCAGACGGTGGCTCTGCGTGGCTGCACTCTGTCTCCTTACAGGAGCAGTCTGGCGAATGTTTCAAGCCTGCGCTCTGGGGGAAAAGCCCTCATTTGTAATGTTTGCCAATTAATGTGGTGTAAATACTCCCACCGTGGCCGATTTCAGGCTACAACGTGAAGCCATCCAGCTCACAGAATTCCTAGAAATTTAACAGTTGGCTCCAGCACACCGCTGCTGCACGGAAATCTAGCACCAAGCACCGGCCCTCATTGTTCTTGGCCTTTCTGGTCGTTTGACACAGGTGACTGTTCTCTCCACCTTGAAAGGCTTTTCTTCACTCGCTATCAACACGCCTGCCTGCTTGTCCTGCCCTCCCTGGCCACCCTGCCTTCCTGCGCTGGCTCTGCTCTCCCCATGCTCTGTCCCCACAGCTAGGCGGTCTCCCTGGGCTGGTCGCTGTAAACCCTTCTTACCTGTGGGCTGATGCTCCTGACGTGGCGTTGCCAGCCCGAGCCTCTTGTCTGAGTTCAGGCCTGGACGTCCACCTCAGTCAGCCTTCCACGCGGGGCCTGACGGACACGTCCTCTGAAACCGCCCACACCAGCTCCTTGTCTTCCACCTGGAGCTGGCTGCCCTGTCTCCCTCACCCCAGTCAGCAGCAAATCCACCCTTCCAGCTGTTCAGGCTGCAGACCATGGAGCACTTTTCACTGTCGTGTCTCCCACCCACACATCCAGACATCGGTGAGTCCTGACTCCACCTTCGGGACAGGCCCGGAGTCCAGCCCCTCTCAGCCCTCCGGCTGCTGCCACCTGGGCTCTGGCTGGATTATTCCAGTAGCCTCCTCCCTGGGTTCCTCCTCCACACTCGTCACTGGGGCCGTCTCTTCACACACGAACCAGGGGGCCTCCCCTGGAACTCTCTGTAGCATTTCTTCTTGGTGTAAAACCCTTCAACAGCCTCCCATAGGACACAGGAAAGGCCAAGTCTTCCCTCAGCCTGTAAGGGCCCCCACCCCTGCTGCCTCCTCTCCTACATATCTGGCCCTCCGTGACCCGCGCTGGCTGCACAGAGCTCCTGGCTGTTTCTGGGACACACAGCGGTGCACCTGGCACCCTCCCAGCATCCCACATGCTGGCGCCTTCCCTCTGAGTCTTTGCATGAATGTTACTTGCTCAGTTAGACTTTCCGTGACCACCTGATAGAAAATATCGCCCTCCACCCAGCACTTCCTACCCTGCTGCTCCAGGTATGCCCTCTTCCAGAGCATTCCAGAACCCAGGTGTTGCTTGGCTCTCCCAACTAGACTGTGATCTCCGTGAGAGCAGGCGTGAGCATCTGTTAACTGCCATGTCCCTGTCCATGGCAGGCATTTGGTGACGATGGGGGAACTGAGGAGTCAGTGTCGTCCTGTGTGTGTGGGCGCGAGGGGTGTTGCGGCTAACCAACCGCCTGTGAGTTCACCTTCCTTCACAGTAACAGCATCACAGCCCAGGCCGGTGCGAGAGAGTCACCCTGGCAAGGACGGGCTCCGGAGAAAGGACTCGGGGTGGGGATTGAGGCGTAGGTCCCTTAGGCCACTTGTGGCATTAGCACGCTGTCTTCCAGTGTGTCCCGGCCAGGGTGTTAAAGGCCGCAGGTCGTGGTGTCCTGGTGTGGAGGGAGAAAGGGAGACCTGGGCTATGTGTTCTGTTTTTAAAAGATAGTAATCTATTGTTACAGGATTTTACCCCCTCCTTTTATTTTTTTATTTATTTATTTATTTTTTTTTGAGACAGAGTCTCACTGTGTTGCCCGGGCTAGAGTGAGTGCCGTGGCGTCAGCCTAGCTCACAGCAACCTCAGACTCCTGGGCTCAAGCGATCCTCCTGCCTCAGCCTCCCGAGTAGCTGGGACTACAGGCATGCGCCACCATGCCCGGCTAATTTTTTCTATATATTTTTAGTTGTCCAATTAATTTCTTTCTAATTTTAGTAGAGACGGGGTCTTGCTCTTGCTCAGGCTGGTTTCGAACTCCTGAGCTCAAACAATCCGCCCGCCTCGGCCTCCCAGAGAGCTAGGATTACAGGCGTGAGCCACCGCGCCCGGCCTTACCCCCTCCTTTTAAAATAAAGCGCCCCTTTTTTCACCAAGGATTAATTGAGCGAGTTGGAGGTGAGAGGCAGTGGGCCAGACGCCAGGCAGGCAGTGGTGCCCAGCCCCACGCGGCTCCCATGCTAGGGAGCTTCTGGTCTCATGGGGAAGACCTTGGCCTGTAGCTGCCCCTGCCACAGAGCTTGAGGGGGGGGAGGGCAGGATGCCCTGGGGGATTGTGCCATGGCAGCGGGAGGGCTGCCCCAGGATGGGCTGAAAGTGGAGGGTGGGACTGTGGCCTGTCTGGGAGGAAGCAGGCAGTGGGAAAGAGCCCCGACAGAGGAGGAAGGCCTGGTGCCATCCTGGGACTGAGGCAAGGCCCCGACAGCCCTTGGCTGCCTGCTCGGGCAGGGGCCGCCTCGTAGGCACACGGGGCTTCTCCAGCCAGCCCCGCCCCCACTGGTTGGTAGCAGAGTTTGCTCAGTCCCTGGGCACATCCTTGGGTGTGTGTCTCTGGGCCTGATGGGGCCGCATGGGTCTGCATTGGCTTAGGAAGTTCCTCTTTAAGGACAATGATGCTTCTTCTTGTCTGTAACAGTCATTCTCATTTTAACATAAAATAAAATCTGTGAATTAAAATTTTTTTTCTGGCTAGTGACATCCTGTTCAAACCTTCCCTTTTTATTTTTCATTAGGGCAATTGTACATTCTCCTCGTTCTTTTTTTTTTTTTTTTTTTT